CTCATGATCCACCCGCCTCGGCCTCCCAAAGTGCTGGGATTACAGGCGTGAGCCACCGCGCCCGGCCACCACCAAGTATTCCATGAGACATGCATTGTGCTAAATGACTGAAGGAATTTATACCCAAACCACTGAAGAAGCATGTCAACTGCTACATGCACACTAGAGAATTCAGCAGCCGATGACTCTGCACTCAGGCTCTCTTGTCATCATTGCCTTACACCTGCCAGACTGTGGTCCTTGGTGTCTAGGAGACCACACTTTCCCCCAAGTGCAGAAACAGACTGAACTGTACTTTATTTCTGAGTGGAGAGTACAGATGATCCTGATTCTCCAGACCATGGTTACAAAGTGAAATTTAAAGCTAACATAGGCCGAGCACGGTGGCTCACACTTGGAATCCTAGCATGTTGGGAGGCCAAGGTGGGCGGATCGCTTGAGGTCAGGAGTTTGAGACCAACCTGGCCAACATGGTAAAAACCTGTCTCTATTAAAAATACAAATATTAGCCAGCTGTGGTGGCGCGTGCCTGTAATCTCAGTTACTCAGGAGGCTGAGACAGCAGGATCACTTGACCCCGGGAGGCAGAGGCAGTAGTGAGCCGAGATTGTGCCACTGTACTCTAGCCCGGGTGACAGACAGAGACTCTGTCTCAAAAACAAAAAAATTATAATAATAATAAATAAAATAAAGCTAACATAGAAAGAGGCAGGGACATGGACACTAAAGTTGTTTTTACTCGACTTTTTAATGACCTCGCACAAAAAAGAGAGAATTCAAGTTTGGTTAGTGAATCTGGGCTGAATTAGGTTTAGGAAACAACTTAAGACTGTTACAGGATGATTGTGCAGGTAACTCCAGCATCCTAATAGATAAGCCTTGGCAATCTTGTCCTCTTTTTCCAGCATGCCAGCAGTGTTGTGCTCTATATTTCCTGCTCTCCTCCAAGCTGCATGCTCCCTGAGTTGGTATTACTATATCACCAGATTCCAGTGGTTTACCTCCTAGACATTCTGTGATTTGTGATCTGAAGCAGGAGATAGGCTCAAACCTGTCTGATTGATGAGTTATAAGTGCTTCCATTTAATTCCAGCAATATACAAAGCCATTATTTACATCATATTTAGTACCATTATTTGTGAAATGCCTACTTTTACAAGTGATTTTGATAGCTGGGGTCTTAAAGTTTCTTAACTCACAAATAGAAAAAACTGATTCTGCCTATCTTAATGTTAAGGGGAATTTGTTGGAAGATTTTGGAGTCTCTTAGGGAATCAAAAGGGAAACAAAAGAGGCAAATAGTGGGAGAACAGAAACCCAGGGGCCTGTTCCAGGGCCTGAGCAGCCTGGCCGTAACCTCCAGCTAGAGTCCAGCCAGCTCCAAAGACTTCTAGCCCTGTCTCTCAAGAACAAATGTCACAAATCCAGGGCAAGACATTGATTGGCCCAGACTGGGTCAGCAATCCACCTCTAGACACATCAGCTATGGCTAGGGCAGGAGCAGATCTAAGTTTTACAGGGGACAAAACTCATACAATTTGGAGAGCACACCTTGAAATAGTTAAGATGTCTGTTTTACATTGTACAAATACTGTTGGGAAAAGCAGCAAAGGAGAAAGAACTTAGAGTTCCTACATAAATTGGTTATGAGTAACATATAAACAAGGAAGAACAAACTGCGGAAGGCTGCAGGAGGCCTCTGAGGAGGAAGGCCTCTTCATGCCTCATGTTCTGGTGCAGGGTGACCTGGGCCCTGCTACCATAATCATTGTGCTCAAGAATGTAAAACCCCTTCGTAGCACTATGACATAGCCAGAATTGTAGGCTCCTTGTAAGGAGTTCTCTTAGCTGTACATAGATAATCAGCTAAAGATAACCACGTTCTTGTTTTGTGAAACTCCCAGACCACTGCTGTTATCAATCCTTAGGTTGACACACCAGTTCTGGCTCACTGATTCACTTCTGGCTCGCTAATTCACCATCACTCCACCTCTACCCTATAGATCAAAGTGATTGTAATCAATAAATAGTGTGGATGATGAGAGCTCAGGGCCTTCACTGTATCCTCTGAAGTAATAAAGTGATGGCCCCCTGGTCCCACTTTCTCTCTTAATCTGTCTTTTCACCACCAAACACAGGGTACTGAACATGGGGTGATATAGGGTAGTTCCCTACAAAATACAATGCCCGCAGCACTACAAAAAATCAGGACAGAAGAAATCACAAATACAAAGTGCCTACAACCACTGTCAAGAAAGGAAGTGAGGGCCGGGCGCGGTGGCTCAAGCCTGTAATCCCAGCACTGTGGGAGGCCGAGGCGGGTGGATCACGAGGTCAAGAGATCGAGACCATCCTGGTCAACATGGTGAAACCCCGTCTCTACTAAAAATACAAAAAATCAGCTGGGCATGGTGGTACATGCCTGTAATCCCAGCGACTCAGGAGGCTGAGGCAGGAGAATTGCCTGAACCCGGGAGGTGGAGGTTGCGGTGAGCCGAGATCGTGCCATTGCACTCCAGCCTGGGTAACAAGAGCGAAACTCTGTCTCAAAAAAAAAAAAAAAGAAAGAAAGGAAGTGAGACAGAAGGATAATTGAAGTAGGAAGAAGAGCTTGTGGTCTTAAATGGTTGTGGCTGAGTAGGTGGATTATTCTCTTTGTAATTCTCATAAAAATATTTGTCCATGTGAACACATTTTTAGGGTATCTCCTAAGACTTTGAAAGGAACTCTCTCATGCAATGAGGGCCACTGAAATTTTTTTTTTTTTTTTGAGACAGAGTCTCCCTCTTTTGCCTAGGCTGAAGTTCAGCAGCTCAATCTTGGGTCACTGCAACCTCTGCCTCCTGGGTTCAAGCGATTCTCCTGCCTCAGCCTCCTGAGTAGCTCCAACTATAGGCCTGAGCTAGCACGCCTGGCTATTTTTGTGTTTTTAGTAGAGACAGTGTTGCACCATGTTGGCCAGGCTGGTCTTGAACTCCTGGCTTCAAGTGAAAAAAGGGAGAGCCTGGAAAGACAGAATAACAGCAAACCACTGTCTTATCCTGCACCTGCTGCTATAACAAAATACCTTAAAGTAGGTAGTTTATAAACAACAGAAATTTCTTTCTCACAGTTCTTGAGGCTAGAAGTCCAAGATCCAGTCACCAAAAGACTCAGTGTCTGGTGAGAGCTGCTCTCTACTTCAGAAATGGCAACTTCTTGCTGCATCCTCACATGACAGAAGGAACAAATGTTATATCCTCACATGGTGGGAGGGGCAGAAGGACTAGGGCACTCCCTCCAACCTTTTATAAGGGTACTGATCCCATTTATGAGGGCAGAGCCCTAGTGACTTAATCACTCCCCAAAAGGCCCTACATTTTAAAATTTATTTTTATTATTTATTTTTGAGACAGGGTCTTGCTCTGTTACCCACACTAGAGTGCAGTGGTATGATCATAGCTCACTGCAGCCTCAACCACCTAGGTTCAAGCAATCCTCCATCCTTAGCCCCCCAAGTAGCTGGGACTACAGATGCACACCACCACACTCAGCTAATATTTCTATTTTTTGTAGAGATAACATCTCACTATGTTGTCCAGGCTGGTCTTGAACTCATGAGCTCAAGTGATCCTCCCACCTCAGCCTAAAAAGTTGGGATTACAGGTGTGAGCCACTGTGCTTGGTTGGGGACATGTTCATGTCAAGGCCAAAGTTCTTTTTGCTCCATCATGCTACCCAGCTTACAATTTTGGACTTACAATTTTTGTGAGGATTTATGAACATTCAGTCAGTACACGTGACTAGGTCTTCTTCATAATCTCAATCAAATTATTTAATTTAATTATTTTTTTTAAGTCAAGGAAGAAAAGAATGGCCCTGCCTTTTGGAGAAGCAAAGAGCCCAGAAGTGTGAATGAATCTCCTCCCAGGTGAGATTGTTGTTTGGAATATGTGTTTAACTTGCTAACCAAAACATTTTTACATTACAACTTGTTTTTCTTAATGTTTTTTCTCTACCAATGGCTTTGGACTAAGTACTATTAATCTCATATGTGCAATAATGAAGAAGGTATTTTTGAGAGAACTTTTTCTCAATTCAAATCAGTTAAATAATATTTCTAATTTTCTATATATTACTGAATATATAGATGTCACAATATAGACAAATCACTAAAATTAAATTCAAAAACATCTGTTGACCTCTGGTTCTGTGTAGGGCACTATGTTAGGCCCTATGATGGATGAGTAAGTCATAGATCCTGCCCTTGTGAAGCTGATTCTAACCAAAACATACAGCATTTGCACAGAGAAAGAAAATACACAGTCCACATGCTAAGTATCCTGAATGTCTGAGCAATTTGCAAAGAGACTTATAGAGGGGACAGATTATATTCAGTTGTGGGGAGAAGTCAAGATGCCAGGTGACAGTTGGTAAAGGAATAGGGTGCGTGGAGATGGGGACACTGCCGTTGGAGGAATAGTGGAAAAGGAGATCCAGGCAGGAAAGAAATGGAGCATGTGTTAGTCCCGTGTGATTGAAAATAGGACCTGAAAGTGAAATTGAGTCCATCCTTTGGAGGGTCTTAAAAGTCCATATGGCAATGGGGAAAGGATCCCCTGTTTAATAAATGGTGTTGAGAAAACTGGCTAGCCATGTGTAGAAAGCAGAAACTGGACCCCTTCCTGACACCTTACACTAAAATTAACTCCAGATGCATTAAAGACTTAAACATAAGACCTAACACCATAAAAACCCTAGAAGAAAATCTAGGCAAAACCATTCAGGACATAGGCGTAGGCAAGGACTTCATGACCAAAACACCAAAAGCATTGGCAACAAAAGCCAAAATAGACAAATGGGACCTAATCAAACTCCACAGCTTTTGCACAGCAAAAGAAACAGTCATTAGAGTGAATCAGCAACCAACAGAATGGGAAAAAATTTTTGCAGTTTACCCATCTGACAAAGGGCTGATATCCAGAATTTACAAAGAACTAAAACAGATTTACAAGAAAAAAACAAACAAGCCCATTCAAAAGTGGGCAAAGGATATGAACAGACACTTTACCAAAGAAGACATACATGAGTCCAACAAACACATGAAAAAATGCTCATCATCACTGGTCATCAGAGAAATGCAAATCAAAACTACATTGAGATACCATCTCATACCAGTTCAAATGGCAATCATTAAAAAATCTGGAAACTGGCCGGGCGCGGTGGCTCAAGCCTGTAGTCCCAGCACTTGGGGAGGCCGAGGCGGGTAGATCACGAGGTCAAGAGATCTAGACCATCCTAGTCAACATGGTGAAACCCCGTCTCTACTAAAACTACAAAAAATTAGCTGGGCATGGTGGCACATGCCTGTAATCCCAGCTACTCGGGAGGCTGAGGCAGGAGAATTGCCTGAACCCAGGAGGCGGAGGTTGCGGTGAGCCGAGATCGCGCCATTGCACTCCAGCCTGGGTAACAAGAGCGAAACTCCGTCTCAAAAAAGAAAAAAAAAAAAAAAAAAAAATCTGGAAACAACAGATGCTGGAGAGGATGTGGAGTAATAGGAACAATTTTACACTGTTGGTGGGAGTGTAAATTAGTTCAACCATTATGGAAGACAGTGTGGCGATTCCTCAAGGACCTAGAAATAGAAATTCCATTTGACCCAGCAATCCCATTACTGGGTATATATCCAGAGGATTATAAATCGTTCTACTATAAGGACACATGCACACGAATGTTCATTGCAGCACAGTTTACAATAGCAAAGACCTGGAACCAACCCAAATGCCCATCGATGATAGACTGGACAGGGAAAATGTGGCACATAGACACCATGCAATATTATGCAGCCATCAAAAATGAATGCGTTTGTGTCCTTTGTAGGGACATGGATGAACCTGGAAACCATCATTCTCAGCAAACTGACACAAGAGCAGAAAATCAAACACTGCATGTTCTCACTCATAGGCGGGTGTTGAACAATGAGAACACATGGACACAGGGAGGGGAGCACTACACACTGGGGTCTGTTGGGGGAAAATAGGGTAGGGACAGCGGGGGTTGGGGAGTTGGGGAGAGAGAGCATGGGGAGAAATGCCAGATATAGGTGAAGGGGAGGAAGGCAGCAAATCACACTGCCACGTGTGTATCTATGCAACAATCTTGCATGTTCTTCACATGTACCCCAAAACCTAAAATGCAATTTAAAAAATGAAAAGAAAAAAGAAAAGAAAAGAAAAGAAAGAAAGAAAGCGAAAGAAAGCGAAAGAAGAAAGTGAAAGAAATAAAGAAATTATATTATTCTGAACAATAATAATTAATATATTTTATTATTGAGTAGTCGGTTCAAACTACTCATGATATCAAAGTTTACTTACCTACATCACTAAATAAGCAAGTTATGTATAATAAATAATATATGTATATTTTTCCTTAAATTATAATATATGAGGAAACATTTATTTCTCTTGCCCAATTTGTTAAATTTTCTTAGAAAAACACATGCACTACTAGTATATTTGGTTGACAAATCAAAATTGTATACATTTATGGGGTACAGTGTAATGTTTTGATATATGTATAAAATATGGAATAATTAAGTCAAGTTAACTAACATATCTATCACCTTACTTACCTATAATTTTTTTTGTGGTGAGACATTAAAACTTACTGTTAGTAAGGGCCGGGTGCGGTGGCTCAAGCCTGTAATCCCAGCACTTTGGGAGGCCAAGGCGGGTGGATCATGAGGTCAAGAGATCGAGACCATCCTGGTCAACATGGTGAAACCCCGTCTCTGCTAAAAATACAAAACATTAGCTGGGCATGGTGGCGCATGCCTGTAATCCTAGCTACTCAGGAGGTTGAGGCAGGAGAATTGCCTGAACCCAGGAGGCGGAGGTTGCGATGAGCCAAGATGGCGCCATTGCACTCCAGCCTGGGTAACAAGAGTGAAACTCCGTCTCAAAAAAAAAAAAACAAAAACAAAAACAAAAACTTACTGTTAGTTATGTTGAAATGTACAATACATTATCATTGACTGTAGTCACCCTACTGTGCAATAGATCTCAAAACGTATTTATCCTGTCTGTAAAACTTTGCATTCTTTTATCAACAACAGTCTTTGGTAACCAATTATTCCACATTGTATTTTGTTATTTCAACTTTATTAGATTCCACATAAAAGTGGAATTATGCAGTAGTTTTCTTTGTGTATCTGGCTTATTTTACTTAGTAAAATATCCTTTAAATTTATCCATATTTTTAAATTGACATCTACCCCTTTTTAAGGCTGTATAGTATTCTATTGTGTATGCTATTATTCTAAATGTATATACCACATTTAGAATAAAATTGTAATTTAAATACATACTCATCTATTGGTTGGAAAACTCATGTGTAATGGAAAAATATTTGTGTGGCAACATGTATTAACATAATACAGCATATAAATGTCTCGTTAATAACAGCTAATTTGTACTGAGCACTAACCATAATACTATAGATGTGTTAATAAATTTTGTTCTCACAGTGAAAAAAAAAAATAGTCCATATGAAGACTTTACATTTCATTTCACAGGACATGAGAAACTGAAAGTTTTGACCAAGAGAATGATATAGAAGCATTACTACAGAAAAATAATCCAGCGGTTGTGCTTAAAATGGATTGAAGTAGGGAAAGACCAGAGACTGGTGGAAAGTCATTAGAATGTGAACTGGCTAGTGGTAGCAAGAATAAAGAAAAAGGGACAGATGGAAGAGACACTTCATAGGCAGAATCCATAATACCAACATTTGATTGAAACAGGAGAGATGGAAAGAGAAACTACTGTGGTTTCCAGCTGGGGTGACGAATAGTGATGCCCTTCAAAGAAATAAGGATGTCAGAAGGGATCACACCCATGTTTAAACAGATTAAGCTTGAGGTCCTAGTGGGCCTCATCTGGTGGAAGAGTTCATCTGGCGGTTGAAATTTTAGTCTGGAAGGTGGGAAAGAAGCCTGGGTAAATTTAAAAAGAACAAAAAGGAGTTTCTTTTTTTTTTTTTTTGAGACTGAGTCTCGCTCTGCCACCCAGGCTGGAGTACAGTGTTATGATATCTGCTCACTGCAACCTCTGCCTCCCACGTTCAAGCGATTTTCCTCCTTCAGCCTCCCAAGTAGCTGGGATTACAGGCGCCCACCACCGCACCTGTCTAATTTTTTGTATTTTTAGTAAAGACAGGGTTTTGGCATGTTGGCCAGGCTGGTCTTAAACTCCTGACCTCAAATGAGTTGCCCACCTCAGCCTCCCAAAGTGTTGGGATGATAGGTGTGAGCCACTGCACCTGGACAAAAGGAAAAAAGGAGTTTCTTAAATTGCATAAGTTAAAGTGTGATACTGTTACACACTTTCGCTATTTAGATATTAGAAGGAGGAAGGGAGTGTAGGATTCTAGGAGCTGCCAGTCAAGGGATACAGAGGCATAGGGAAAATTAACATGAATTGGATCCCTGAAAGACCGTTTATAGCAAGGGGAAATATCCAGATTAGAAAAGTATTGCAAAATGCTGTTGGAAATAGTGAAATCCTAACTAGGGATATTCACAAACTCATAGTGGGTCATGGTGCGTTGCTTAGCTTGCTGGGGAGGGGCCTTTTCTCACTGCACTTTCCGTCATTCTCACCCTCTCTCACAGTGTGAATAAGAGGACCTATGAGGTCTCTTTTAAACTTAAATATCATTATTATTATTACTTCTTTTCTTACAAAAAAAAAAAATAGGAAGTTTCTTTTTCCTAAACACATTACCAATTTGCTGTGTAGAATTTAAACCTTATGGCCAATTATTCCAGATAAGAAGATTGTTGGACAGTAAGGAGTTAGCAATAGAGTTCCTGTGATCTTGTCAGAGTTCTCAAGGCTTTGAAGGTTCTGATTTGAAGCTAAACATCAA